TATATATATATATATATATATATATATATATATATATATATATATATATATATATATATATATATATATATATAAACCATACCTTGTTCTTCGGGTTCTAACTGTGAATGAAGGTTGAAATCTATCGAGTCAGGGAGCTCAATTGCATCTTAATTGCTGCATCGGAAGAAGTTCAAGTTTCTGAGTCTGTCAATCTTGTAGTAATAATCCAAAGGGGACCGAGAAGCACTTAAACTGCACTGTAAGACGATCAAACATGACAAATGTTTGCTGTAAGAAGAAACCAGAGAACTGTATATCACAATCAAAGATGACCAAGACATGTCTATTAGATCCCAACTACGATCATCTCATGCGGAGAAGGCACTCTTGTGTTCTCAAAAAGACAACTTAATAGTCATTCTCAAGTGAATGATTAGTTCAAGCTCATGCATTTAAATGTCAACCCATGATGTCATAGCTTTCTCCTGGATGGTAAGGGTTAAAACTCGGAATGTCAAACTTCTCCATCGAGTTGTCGAATCCTGAAATCATCGATCGAGTAAAAGAAATGTATGTCAATATTTCTACCAGAAGGAAAAAGGAGAATCGAGACGTACTTGGTGTCGATAGAACATATTCATTCAAGGACATCTGCCCAGAACCGCTAGAAGACTTTGAACTCTCACTTGATCGATGTATGCCTTGTGCTTGGCTTAGCTCCCGCTCGAACGAATGGAGTTGTGCATCGTACATGGGAAGATTATTAACACCGGCTGGCATGCCTTCATGATGGCTGCCGTCGGGCTTGGGTTTCTTTTCGTTCATGCATTCCTCATCTGCCTCTACTTCAGACTCTGTATTACTAGGAAATGAAGCCATCTGCTTTCGCTTTGATCGTGCTCTCCTATTCTGGAACCAGTTGTAGACATTAGATTCAGAGATCTGACCATGTTGTGATAGCTCAATGGTTATCTCCTTTATCTTCTGCTTGCTCGGAGTCCCATTGCCTTGATTAAACATACTCTCAAGAATTTGTAGCTGCATGGTTGTTGGAGTCCACCGCTGCCTAGCAGTGATTTTGTGACCACCAGACGCCATCAGGGGATCACCGTAGAGGCCTCCCAGCCTCATTCCTAAAGTGACCGATAAGTGTAGGATAAGTAGACAAAAGAGAAATATATTCCATTGTTCTGCTCAATCCAAAACTACAACACATCAAGTATGGCTCCTCCTGTACTAGTAAAGAAACTTCATGTTGGAGTTTTAGCTATCAAATGCATGCAACTTTTGCAGGCAACAAGATAGGATATATATAAGTGAGATCTGTTTTCAGCATATAAGCAAGAAACTGAGATTTCGAGAATAAGGCGCATGAGTAGTTTCAGAAATGGATTATGTATCGCTGCGGATTATCTTTGTAAAGTTGTCTTCATAATCAAGTCGGAGTCAGTAAACGAGAAAAGTGCACATTTACCATTTATTAGTTTCGTGATGGAAAAACAAACTCATGCCCGAGAATGCGTTTTGCGACAATTTTTAAGACAACATGAAATGTGGATGTGGTTGTAGGCATAAGATCGAAACCCACTGCTTAATGTAGATATTGGAGTAAACAAATACTAACATCCTCCCCATTACTTCAGATGCAGGATTCTTCTTCTTCAAGGTTCTATTTCTGTATCTTGACTCAATACAACTATAATGTCCAGTGATTTATGACATCAATACAACTATTAAAAGTCCCTTCCTCTTCCTCAAGTCACTGTATCACAATCTAAAAGTACATGTCTTGTAGGTTGTTCCCCCTCAACAATCACAGGGTGTATTCTGCTGCTTCTCCGAGCGTCTAAATGTAGTACTAAACCTATTTTAGTGAGACAAACCGCAAGAAATCTTCCTTAATCAGACACGCAAAGTTTCTGCTTCCTACTCTAGCACTAGAACAAAACAATTATTCCTTTGAATAAGCCAAATTGCAATTGTGATAAGTTTCATACAATCCATACAGTTGCTTTATCCTTGTGATAAAAAGGAGTGCCTAACAAATGAGTGCCTGATCTAATGTGGCTATGCCGGACAACCACCATTAATTTGCATGCCATTACTGAATTGAGCAGTAACTTTATAGCAAACAGGGAAGAACAGATATTAATCTCAGCTTCATTAGATTTAGCATTTTCCCAAAAAGAAACAGGGCAAGGGGTTAATACTAGGAAGAACAGTTGGTCCAACCTACAAGTCAAATGTGTTAGAACACTTAGCATATGGAATTCAAGTGACGAAGGTAGATCATGACTTGCCAACAATAGTAGATCCCTCTTGTAACATTCATTCCTTAGCGACCATGACGATGAAGAAACAAGATATCTTTTTGGCATCAAGATCGGGAGGAGGAGGAGAAGAGGAAGAAACGCTGACCTGCGAGGGAGTCGTGGTGAGCAGTGATGGCCTTGTGCATCTCGACAAGTTGCTCACATATGGTGGCATAGACCGCGATCTGACGGCGGAGGACCTCCAGCTGCTCGTCCGTCATCACCTTCACGTAGAGGAGCCCTTCGCCCACCCCTTCCCCTTCCACGCCCGCTCCTCGTCCTCTCCCTTCCCCTACTTCATACTTCCTCTCACCACCACCACCACCACCACCACCGGAAGCCTTCTCACATCCCATTCTTCGCGTCTCCTCCGTCAAAATCCCGCCTTTCTGCATCCAATATCTCTTCCCGTCCGGCCTCTCCACCCCTTCGCTCTATACTCTCCGTCAAGATCCCACCTTTCTTGGTTCCGACGCTTAGCCCCACGTTGTTCGCTTGTGACTCCGCGAAAGAGGCAAGAAGCGGCGGCTTGGAGTAGTGGCAAAGACAGAGCACGAGCGAAACGAAGCAATTCCAAGGGGCCTCGGTCGAGCGCAGCCTCGCCAGGATTCGTGCCCGCTTTACTGAATCGCCGACGCCTCCCCTCCGCTAGCAGTACTCAGAGCTGCGGATACAGATGGGAAGAAGCGGAGAGAGAGAGAGAGAGAGGAGAGCGAGAGAGAGATGTGTGTGTGTGTGTGTGTGGAAACGACGTTAAAGGCAAAAGGAAAGAAAGGAAAGATGTGGTGCTGTGGGTGGCGACAACGCTGATATGTAATGATGTTGGACGGAGTGCTCTGCTCACACTTGCACAGAATTGTGGGGGCTCAAAAGACTTCAATTGTTGGGACTCCTTTGGCCTCGCTATATATATATATATATATATATATTTTTTTTTTTTCTTTTTCTTAGTAATCGATCCATAAAATGATATTTTTATTCTATTTACAGTATTTTTCACTAATATTAAAAAATATTATAATATTTTTTAATTATTATTAAAATAAATATTATTTTACAGTATTTATTTTTAAGATACCGTTATACTACTTTCCTAATATTATTGAAAATACTATAACATAATGTAAAATATTATAAATAAAATATTTTATTATATATATATATATTATAGTATTTTTATAGGTATTACTTAAAAACATTGTAGTACAGTGTAAAATATTATAATTCAATTCATTTTTCCTAAATTCATCAAAAAATAGATGGCATACATCTATTTTCCTAAGTTTGATATAATGAATTAAATTTGATAAGTCGAATTTTCCTAAGAATATATTTCTCTATTATGTATCTAATATTATTCTTCCACATCGGGCATTTATCGAGGAGTCAGCACGTCTTCAACATTAGTCTTACGATCGAACCTCACGTGTGAAGTCAACCATGTCGAGATAGAAGCAAGCAACCCTAATTCAAGTCGAGAAAGGTTTTTGTCCTGATTAAACTTGATTTAAGAGCGATTCCTCTTTACAAAGTGAGCTACATCGATTAAAACTCGTCGTAATAGTCGGTAGATCTTATGTTTAATATAATGCAGAGATTTATTATCATTTTTTCTGCGACATGAGTCACGATAGAAGAGTGGGATCGACAGCAACCTCCTTTCGCTGGAAGACGAGAGGCTGAGCACGCAAATACAATGGAATTGATTGAGATGGCAGCAAGAAGACATCGTCGAGGCAGGGAATGAGGAAGGTTGTTTGCTCGAGGAAGTCCGACATGCCATGTGCGGCGGCGCCGTCGCCACTTGCGGAAGTTGATAGACACATGGCATTAGTTTCATCTCAGATGGATAAGCTCTCCATTCTTCTTCTTCTTCTTCTTCTTCTTCTTCTGCAATCCTACTCCCAAGAATGGTTCTTGCGCTGGACTGTCGAAGACCTGAAGCCTGTGAGCATCTTACCTTCTCAGCGTGTTGAAGCTAAGAGAGTGAGGATTCAATAAACACTCTAATAATACCATGGGAAAAAACTGTGTTTGTTTAGATGATTTATGTGTTATTATCATAGAATGATCGTATAGAGTATACAGTGAAATTGACTCATTGATCCAATATTAACACATCCATCCCTTGAGACTATTCAATCTAATTTCTCCTCCCTTCCTTGATCATAGACTCCTCGATCGAAAGGTATGGGGGCATTGCCTATCGCTCCTCCGACCTATAAATAGGAAAGAGTTTAAAGATGAGAGTCTAGTTTAGAGAATTTAGAGATGAATATATACATGGAAAGATGAGAGTCTAGTTTAGATGAATATATACTAGATATCAATCGAGAATATTCTCGTTTAGATATCATATTGACTATATAGATTTGCATACGCCACATCATCATCAATCCAATTAGGTGGTGCCACATCATCTCCTGGCTAAGTAGACCAAATCAATCGGGCACCATTTGTTGAATCCTAATTGTTTGCTTATGGTTTCATTTAGTACGATGAGACTTTCGATTGGTTGTCAAGCCTTGTCACACTATTATGGTATATAAATGAATGCTACACTGATTGTATTAATTTAGATGTTCCTATTGATTGAATCAAAACAAGCAGAGTGGCAAAAGGTTCAACTCTTTGCAGAAACTTAGTTCAAGAGTTGTGTAGCATTAACATCTGATGGTAACATATATGAATATGAAATTGTGTCAAATTCAGAAGTACAATGTTCAGGATCAAATGGAGATGTAGCAAGCAATTCAATAATCCCTCAACATGGAAGGAAAAAGGTCATCTGATAGATGATGATACAATGAGATCTCAACATGAGAGCCTAAAATAATGAGATTCCAACATCTAATAGATCATTTGGGACTCAGACAATGGCAAAGCATGACTCACAAAAAGGCCAGTGCATATTTGAACAAATAACTCACATGTCAGAATGAAATTTATCAGCATGTTGGAAAAGAAAAGAACAAATAAACTCATATTCAGTAACACACTATTGCTATCAACATCTTGATCAGCCTCAACCATTCTAACTTTACATGAAGGTATCAACATTTTGACCCCTGAGGCAACACTACTTGTCATTTATATTGAGCCTTTCCTCTTGGCCAAACATCTTAATGCGTCAGTTAGGTAAAAGCAAACTGACATTACTTGCAAAGGCACATATCATGCGCAATTTCGAAGATTATATCGTGTAGAACGACCCTCTCAATCTGTCTTGCTACAACATCAATGTCCTCGTACAATATGGTTGGCCAAGTTGTCATCTTCAGATCCTGAACCACCATGATATTTAGAGTGTCAGACTCGTCCATAGGGGAGTTCAAGTATGACTGAATCTGATTCCACAAGTCATCCAACAAGCTTCTTCCTTGTGATGATGATGCAGCTGGACCCAAAATCCATCTCTTGAACATGGAGCAATTTATTTTAGGTCCCAAGACACTTTGCAAAGCCTCATTCACCAAGTCGAACAATAATTTGTGTCCTATAGCTGGGTCATCGTTATGGATGATAGTAGACTCGGTTTCCAGCTTCCCGTATTTGCTGCAAGCTTCCTCTACTTGTTCAAAAACCTGGAGTGAGATTGGCCGTGTCAATGCATCCAACTTCGTTGCTTGATCAGTGGATCTATCCTCATAAAATCCGGCAGTCACAAGGATATCTTGTAAATAAGCTGCATCCCCAGTTTCCTTCTCGATTGTCTCTTTCTTGTGAGGCTGCTCTTCAACTTCCATTTCAGATCCATCCTCACTTTCCTTCTCAGTTGTCTCTTGATTGTGAGGCTGGTTTTCAACTGCCATTTCAGATCCAAAATCCTCGACATGTTCTAACAAATGTGGTTCTGGCAAAGAGTGTATCATTATTAGGATGTGGCAAAGAGATGTATAACTAAAATACTCAAAATTCTTGAAGTTGCATTTGTGACCAAATGCAGACTCAGAATCAAATCTACGGCCATACAAGAAGCATAAAGTAGATACTAAAAGTGTGAATGCTATCTGTTCTACCTGGAGCATTGGAACTTAGCACTTCAGAGACACAAGGTGAAGTGTGATGGTCCATGACCTCAAGTGGTGATATTGGACTTGGGTTATCTTGCTTGCAAAACTCATCGGGAGTACTGCTCGACACCGATGCAGGACTTGGTGGCACCTCGGTAGAGTTCTCCTGAGGCACAATAGTACATGTCAAAACAAGGATACACTTGTCCTGCACTTGTACAAGTTTTAATGACTTTAATCGTTCCTTACCTGTGTGATGCCAGAATTGATGATAATAGAGGGTGCAGTTGGTATTTCCTTAGCTGAATTGAATCCACTTGCAGTTGGTTCCTTAATCAGCCGGGCTGTTTTCCCAAACAGCTTACCCTTAAGATTGAAGTTATGTTTCAGACTGGAAACTCTTCCTTTCAAGCTAAAACTATCCTTTCTTTGTTTTCCGAATTCTGAGAACCCATGTTGAGATGCTTCCTGCTTCCTGCAGATCTGAGTTCCAGTTATATGCTGGTCCTCTAAGAGGAGCTTCCCAAAAGCTGTTCCAGACACAGGTGCAGAAAATGATCTGACAAGGTTCCACTGTGATACCGACTCTGCATCAGGTGCCACAATTTTCTCTTTCTGTCTTGGAATTGATTCAGTCACAGCTTTCTTGTCTTTCCAGAGGTTCATGTTTTTCCCTTTATTTGCAAAATCAGACATCAATTTTGGCATTGCCTTTTCTTTGTTTATGGTGGAAGCATCTGAACATTCATGGTTTCTTCGAGACTTCCCCAGAACTATTTCATTCTTCAGGACATTCTTTGATTTCTCTGATACATACTTTCTTGTGTCTCTTCTAATGAACTCTGGTGAATCAGGTGAGTTGACTTGTAAGTCACTCCTAATTGATCTTGTTGACTCAGATCGGATGAGAGTTGATCCAATGTCCTTGGTCACACTTTCTCTTATGTGTTTTGCTATGTCACGAGCAATTTGTTTTGGATCAATTGTCCTTTCACCAAATGAAGTCCCTATGCCGGTTCCTCTACCTCTAGCATTGCTTCTGTTCTTCCCCTGGATTTCATTCTTGAGCCTTTCCTTCACTTCTTCAAGAAAGTCTTCCATAGCACATTCCTTACCAAAGTTATTGGTTGAGGCAGCTAATAACTCTTCATTGGCATCAATTCTATCAAAATTAGGTTTCAGAATCACTATCCGTGTCGGTGAACAAGATCGCTCCTGTTTCTTGTCAGTCCTAGTAACTGTCAAGAATTCAGAATCATTAGCCCTGGTACCAAGTTTCATAGCCATGTTGTTCTTTGAGATAAATTGGCACTGTCTGTTCAAATGTCCATGATCCTGCAGGCTGGATCCTTGTTGTGTATCTACATTTTGCTTAGCTGTTGAGACAACATCTTTGGCTTCTGTGGGCTTCTTTTCAGCCAAAATTTTCTTGGTATCTAGATACTTTGCCATTTTCTCTTTGTTAAGAATTTCTTGTGCAATGATTTGATGATCCTTCACATCTCCAAGAATGTGATTCTTCTGAGACCCTGGATGCTCCCGTAACTTTGAAGCTTGCCATGTCTCAAATTCCTTCTTGAACTTCTGCAGCAGCTCTTCTTGCGGATGTTTGCGTGGTTTTCTTGTCTTCTCGGCTTTGGGATCTCGTTGATTACCATTTAAAAGTGTGTTTTGCTTCGTTTGTCTAGAGGAAGTGGAGCTGCGTGAAGTTTCAAGACCCAAACTACACTCCATGATCTTATTTACTTCCATAGCTTTTCTCAATCTATCTGCTTCGAGTTCCTTAGCATGAATTTTCCTGCCTTCTTCTGATGGCATCGAGTCCATTCCCATCAAACGGGCAACAACACTTGGTGCAACCTTACTTTCAGTTGTTCGTTTGGAAATCTCTCCATCGATCAACTTCTTCATAGGGGTTCCATTGGGAGAATAATACATTTTGGAGGGATGTTTCACCTGAAAAGAATACTGAAACTGAAAAGTTTTTAGGCTAACCAGATTGAATTCATAAGATGCAGAAGTTTCCAAGTTCAGCTATGTAAATAAGATATTGCCTACCATACAGCAACCTAACAAGTAGAACACTCAAACAACTTGCCCAGAAAGAACCTATCAATGTCATTTTAGCGTGCTGCAAGGGGAGTGACTGAGAAATAGATCGCTGAACAGTGTAGTCCATCAATAACATCACATTATCGATCCAGAAATTTCTAAGAAATCAATAAAGAAACTTCACTACAGATAAATCCTTAATAATTCGACTGATGTCAAAGGAAAGCACACTGAATTTTAACCTTAACATCATCAGGAAGACCCACAGAAAGATTTTTCTTAAATTCTGCCTAAAGTTCAGTAAAATTACCAACAATTGGCTTGCTTTATATTCTTCATATCATTCAATTAGAAAGAACGAGCATGCATAAGGAGCACAATGTTTATAATTTTTCGAGTCCAAGATTACTGTTGAATCTTCAGAGTTGGTAGGATACAGGAAAGTGACATTGGACTCTTCCAAGTCAAAAGAGTCATCTGTCACCTTAAATGTATCTCACCAGTGTTTAGAATTTTTGTGCCATATGATTGTTTAGAAAAATCAACAGATGCCACAATCTAATAATTCTCACTCAATTTGATAGGTTAAATAGAACTAAAAGCTTACCAGATTGTCTTCAGGGACATAGTAATACCCTATAGAAGTGTCAATAGATACATCCAAGCTATTCCGAGGAGCTTCAAAACCTTCCACATTTTCAACACAAGTAATTCACTTAGAAGAAAGAGCACCAACAAAGATACTAATGTCAAAAATAGAATTTAAAAGGCAAGACCATTTTTGCTTCTTGTTTTTACTCTTATTCTATCTCTACTATCTTAGAATGAATTGCAATGTTTATCGACACTGAGATCTTAAATCAAACTAGCAGCAGCAATGCAGAGTGCAGTCCTTACCATCACCATGCTTCTTATGCGCCCACTTCTGAGATTTACCAGCTTTGCTATAATCAAATATGTGTGATATTCCTCCCATGGGACCTGGCATGCTCCCAGATAGGTGATCTTTTAGTTTAATAAAGTTCTCATATATATATATATATATAATCAGAAATTGCCAGGCCACAGCAGAGTCAAAAACCAAGTTTCTTCCATGCTAATCATCTATGATTGTCAAATCAGTGCGGACTAAGGCCAAGAAGTAAACATTAGGAAAAAAATAACTTGACTGCAGAAAATATGAAAGAAATTAAGAAGAAATAAAATTTTCAGAATAGACTTGAATCCGGGAAAGCCATTCCTTCAGGTGATTTATGAACATGCATGATACCTTTGCAAAATTTCCTTTTTATACAACAGAGTAGGATGCAGATCATACAGAAGGAGATGGTCGTTTCGGAAAACAATCAAGATCCAAAATCCTTCTCACAGAGCAGAGAAAGAGAAAGGGGCAATTTTGTAGTGGTGCCATTAAATCCTATGAAAACAGCTGACAACTGAGAGAAGTTCCTTCTTCTATTACTTAAGGACAAAGACCAATTTGAGTCAGACAGGAAGCTCCGATTCCATCGCTTAACTCGTCATACATGACGTTGATGGAGATCAAGAAAACATAGGATGAAAATCTCAATCAATTATATGCTAGAGAAAAATGGTTGTCTTTTCAGAAAAGAAATAATTAGCCTAAATAAGAATTTCAATCGTACAATTGATGCTTCATTTAGCAGACACTCTTGAAACAAAAGTGCAAGCCAAACCCTTTCTTACATTTTTGAGCTGAAAAGATGCATGCTAGCACAATAAATCATGTACTGTATGACTCCAAAGAGAAGGAAGAACCGAATCAAACTCAAACCAAGCATGAAACTTGTGATGCTTAACAGAAATAAAAACAAAAATCTTCCTTGTTCGTCAGAGCACGAAGAAGAACTAAAAATCAAGTTGCTGCATTTCATGGAAAGGTCAAACCTTTAGGGCTGGAACGGCGACCGGGATCGCTTGGTGATCTCCGCACCGGCCTACGCGAGGGTCGAAGTGGAGAAGCACATCGGGAGCGGTGGAGAGACGACCTTCTACCAGTTGGAAACCGTAGAGAAGTGGTGGAAAGGTCGTGCTTTTTAGAACAGGGATGCACGAAAGTAAAAGCGCTGGAAAAGAGAACCGCAGTAGAAAGCCATTTCTTTTCCCCCTTCTCCTCCTCTTACTTAAATAGCTTCTTCGGAGCAACTCGACCATGGACGTCAAATCCGTTTCCCCAACTTATTCCTGCCGGCATTTCGTAGTTTCTCTCGCTTTTCTCGTTTCCCTTCAAGTCGTTTCACACCATGTTTATGTTGCTTTGATCCGTTTCGATCCAAACCATCCATTTCGGTATATATATATATATATATATATAGTGGTATTAATATGAGGGTACAGCTCACGCGGGAAGGGAGGTTAGTTGGTCGTTGCTTTTGCGCGCTCCATTTGGCGCCACTTTAACAGAACGGTTTCGTCATGAAAACTTCAATGCGCTTAAGGACGCGCGTTGCCGTCCCTCGCGGAGCAGAGCATCTCGATAACCGAGTCCTTATCCATACTCTTCTTTGGTGTGCGATGGAAGGCTTGAAACCCCAATCCTTACTGTCTTAAATCTTAAATGGGCATGCCATGTGAAGAGGTCACTCAAACTTGATTAGGTTAAGAGAGACTGAGGTGCCGGCCACTTTGTGGGCCTAAAGGATGGCTTTACTTACGTGAAGCCATGATGATGGCATGTGTAATGTTCATGATGCTCCACGTTCTCTGGCATCGGCCTTTCTTTTCCTGTGATCGTAAATTACCAGGTGGAAATGGCATGATATAAGATTCCAATGATCAGCATGCATCGAGGCATCACCTGCGTACAGCGTAATCATCTTCGTTTTGATCTGCTTTAATCGACTACTTCTGATAGCGTCGCTGGGAACACTGCAAGTTTTTTCTTCCATTAGTTTTTGTTGGTGTAAACAACCCGGAGCCGTGGCCTCCGGGGCCATGGCTCGATTCGGGTCCGGACGACGGGGATCTCCTCGGGGCGTTCCTCGAGCCCGCGGGGTCAATCTTGTGCGATGGTCCGATCGGGACGGGATCGTCGTCTCCTCCGGGCAGGGACTCCTCGTCCGCGTGTCCGGCGGGGACCCTCGGCTTCGCACCTGCACAAAGGTCGGGTCGGGAAGCTCGACCCGACCCCTCCGACGATCAAATTAGCAGATGTGAAGGGGGTTTCAGATGAAGAAGTGTTTTGTGTGTCTTCCCTCCCTTCCGTTCAGAATGCGAGGATATTTATAAGGAAGCTTACTATTGTTTGATGTGCCCGCCTGCAGGAGGTAGGCTGGTAGCGTCTGACATGGGCGTTGGCGTGGCATGAAGAACCGAGCCTGAGTAGGCGTTAATGCATCTCGATCGGTGTTCCGGTTCGACTGACGTCAGCCGAGTCTTTATCATAATTACTATCCTCATCAGTTTTGTATCCGGATTTAATAATGCCAAGAAATATGATGTGAGCAATGTAAACCCAGAAATCGCTTGATGCAAATCCTTGTCTTTAATAATCAGCAACGTGAACTTCGTCCACCCGCTGGGTCACCAAGGTCGGGTGAGCCTGGTACGCACACGTCAGACCCAAGATGACGGGGCCCAGTCCAGCTAAAAACAAGGGCAAGTCGATTAAGATGTTCCGCGGACTTCTATTACCAACCGCACAACCACGTTGTTCTCGTCCAATCCACGGATTCGATTGCTTCATGCTGCACCTACCACGATACTGCTGCGGCGTAGCAGAACGCACCTTGCGATTTTGCATATAAATATTTCCAACAAGAGCTGGATTAGATAAACAGGACTTTTTTTTCTTTCCTCGAGGGTCGTCGTCTTCGCGCTTCTCTCCTCCTCGCGGCGATCTCGTGGAGCGAATTCGATCCTTGCTTCGTCTCGGCCAACGTCACCCGAATCGAATTCCAATCGGATCGATCATGTACGGGTCGAGAGGGTAAGATCGCCACAAACCCCAACCCTAGTTCTTCCCCCTTTTGACTTCCTTTCTTGAGGGCTAGATTACATCTCTAGTTGTTTTGTATCATCTACGTTTTTTTGTTCTTGTGTTGGTGGTGACGTGAAAAGTTGGTTGCTTGAGCCTGTTACTATTCTTGTGGTGGCCATCTAGGGTTACCGTTCTTCATCTAACGGGCGTGGGGCGCTTTTCGTTGCTTAAAGTCGCTGATCCGGCAGCTCATAGAGTTTTAGTTGGGATGTACAGATGCTTACGAACCACTCGCGTAAAAGAAATCAGTAGCCAACGGATCTTCTGTTGGAACTGGAGTCCTGGCTACCGACACTAGGAGAACGTTAATTCTTTTAGACACTGCTCTTTGGTCGGGGAGAGAGTTGTCTATTAGCTACCTTTTCGAGTTTTCCATAGTCCTCTGTGCAACGTATAAGAAATTCTGTGGTATTTGAACTGCTTTAAGGTTGAACTGCTTATGAAAGAATCTTCTCTACTCTTGCGGTTGTTATCTACTGATAGACTAGCTAAGCTCCAAAGGAATGCTTAGGTGGTGAATTATGTGGCATCTCCTATTGGGCTGAAACCACAATTTTTTGCATCTACTCATAACTCAATAGATGAATAAAGAAAGAAGGAATCTGCGCTAATGCCATTAATTTTTTGTGGGTATGTATGATGCTTTATTTTTCCACATTAGAGTTGATGGTGGATTGTGGTGGGACATATGGCTTGATGGTACTACATCTAGTTCCTTGGATGTAAACGTTTTTGGTCAAGTGTTAAATTACTGATCCTCTGAGGATGAGAAAGATTGAGGAGGAAGGTGTTGACTATCACTCGAGGAGAGTGATAAAGTCTCCATTATTTTCTTAATTTAAGTTCAAATACTCGGTTTATATTTTTGTTGAAAAAATTGGTTATGAATTTTTATATTATTTAATGGTGTTTTTTTTAAATTGAGATGCATGATGTACATTTTAGAATATACAATGTTTTTAAGTTATGTTGAATTTTTATTCATGATTATTAAATTATAATTAATATATTTGATAAAAACAGTTATGTTTTTTTGTTAATAGGTTATTTTTAATATGGATTTAACTATTTTGATGCATGTGAAATATTTTTAATGTTCATGTTTTATCAGATTAAATTTAATTTTTTATCACTGTTAATTTAATTGTTTTATGACACATTATGGAGTTTCATGCTTTTATATAATAAATTAGATTAATTATGTCATATTAAAAAAACAGGATTGCACCTTGTTGGGTCGGAGTTGACTCGAGTTGGGTCTGATGTGCATTGGAGTTGCTAGCCTGGACTTGACCTGATTGGGTCTGACCCAACTTAAGTTGGGTGCGGTCCAACCCAAACTTGAGCCCAAATCGAGCCAGCGTCGAGTTATACCAATGGGTCAAGTTGTGACAAATAATATCATGGTCGACTTAGTAGTGGATGTGGTGAGGGGCTCGAGCAGCCATGGATGGGATGAGGCTAGAGGGCATGTCACAGACCACTAGGTAGGACCTCATATATATTGTGCTATGGCTTAATTTTGAGCTATGTTTGTCATTGATGAGGACGCCATATTCTTAAGTGGGGGAAATTGGAATAAGTTGGTCTTGTTCCACATTGGAAGTAGGAGAAGATATGAACGAACTTATAAGGGCTATATGAGACTACTGCCATTAACTTGGGTTTAAGGGGTTTGGTCCATGTGGTTCCAGGCCTATCAAATTAAATGGGTCAACTATCCCATTGGGTTGGGTCGTGATTTTTACACACATGTTACATACTCTAAGAAAATGATTATAAGTTTCAGCCTGTAGTTACACCAAACATCATGAGAAAGATGAAACTAACTAAACTTCCTTCAATGTCATCATACACCAATTGTTAGTTGCAAAATGTTAACTCCACTACATTATAATCCACTCTATTTATATTTGCCAAACTTTAAGAAAATTTTTACGATGCCTTCCTTCCAATGAAAGTCCATTTTGTTCGCTTGATATTACTCTTCCTTTTTCACTTTTATAATTTTCTGTTGTTTTCTACGACCACTGTACCTCTGTGCTGCTGCATTCCCTTTTCTCTTCTGCTAGTATCTAATAGCTTGAGATTACTTTATGGGGCCGCACATACCCTTGTTTATCTCCACTTCAGGTTATTATTTGTAGTACCATTGACTTTGTGTTAGTTTGTAGTATTGATATGAGATATGAATCTGAATGAGTGTATATTTGAGGGCCTTATGGAAACATCAATTAGGATAGGTGGATCCATGGATATATGCATAATTGGTGGATGATGGATACATTCAGTGTCTTTATGGAGAGAAAATGTAGGGACCGAGGAAATGATAGACGAAGAAAGACAGAGCAACAGGTCTAGGCAACTTTGGTAATGATTTGGAGGATGAAAGAATTTGGCTATATCTTAGGTTCCATATTTCTGGTTTTCTAAGACATAACAGTGACCGAGGAAATGATAGACGAAGAAAGACAGAGCAACAAGTCTAGGCAACTTTGGTAATGATTTGGAGGATGAAAGAATTTGGCTATATCTTAGGTTCCATATTTCTGGTTTTCTAAGAGATAACAGTGTTGTTATGTGCAGTGCTGTAACTTTTCACTAATTTATATATCCTACTGTGGTGATTCCCTAGTCATTAACATTGTCTTGTATGTTTTGCCTTTGAAAATTTGGTGCATAGCCCTCTTGGAGTTACAAGATTGATGAATTGGAATCAAATTGTGGGTATTGAGACTTCAATTCTCATTCCTTGATCATCTCTATGATGTAAATATTTTTTTTCATGCAACTGGAGAGTGTTGAATGAATCCTGATTCGTATAAGTCAATTTTTTATTATGCCTTCATGAGATATCCGAGGAAGACTTGAATTTTATATCCTAAATCGTCTCCTCAAGATCCATTTCTTACCAATGCACCAGCAGAGTCTATATTTCTGTTGTTTGTTTTGTGTTCATTTAACGTGCTTTCTGATTGTCAAGGTGATGATTATTTTCAGTCCTCGTTTTATCTAGGTTAAGAATTGATGTTTTGTGTAAAATATATTCATGCTCGCAGACTTGTGCTGCATGATTGTTTTGCTTTGTTCTGGATTTTTAACACCCTCACCTTCTTTGCATGATAGTCAATTATTTATCTAAGATTTTACATATAGTTCATGCTACATTTAGGTTGTTGGATTATGCTGTTCTTTTCTTGGTTGGTTGTAAAATATATTTTTCAATAGAATTAATTGTTCAATGTGGGTTGGGTTTCTCTGTGACCTGGGAACTGAGTGTTGGGGGGTGTTATCTACTTCTTCTTGGGATTTACAATTGAAGGGCAATGATGGGAAGCGGGGGGGTTTCGGACGGGTACGAGGGCACAAAGAGGCAACGAATGATGGACTCCAATCCCTACTTCGCAGTGAGCAGCGGGAGTGCTTCAGATGGCTTCGGTGCCGGCTCGAAGAGACCAAGGACTATGGATCCAAATCCCTACTATGCCGGTATTGGTGCCAGCAGCTTCTACCAGCCATACAGCAGCAGCTACAATGGTGGAAGCAGCAGCATCTATAACTTTCCTGTGGTTCGCCTGAGAGGCCTGCCCTTCAACTGCGACGATCTCGATATATGCAAGTTCTTTGGCGGTCTGGACATTGTGGACTGTCTGTTGGTGAACAAGAATGGGCGCTTCTCAGGTGAGGCTTTTGTTGTTTTTCCATCACCCATGCAGGCCGAGTTTGCTCTCCAGAGGGACAGACAGAACATGGGCCGCCGGTACGTTGAAGTCTTCCGGTGCAAGAAGCTAGATTACTACAATGCTATTGCTGTCGAGGTCAACGATGGATCCTTTGAGAATGAATACCACCATAGCTCACCTCCCTCTCATCCGAAGAGACCAGCCGAGGACAAAGACCAGATGGAGTGCACCGAGGTCCTGAAACTTCGGGGGCTCCCATACTCTGCAACCCAGGCAGATATCGTGGACTTCTTTGGGGAGTTTGATCTGAGTGAAGAGAAAGTGCACATTGTCTGCCGCCCCGACGGCAGGGCAACCGGGGAGGCATATGCTGAGTTCCCATCGGCAGAGATGGCCAAAAAGGCTATGCGCAAGGATAAGATGATGATCGGGTCAAGGTACGTGGAGCTGTTTCCTTCATCCCCTGAGGAGGCAAGGAGAGCCAAATCCAGATCCAGGCAATGATTTGTGTTTAATAGAGGGAAGGTGTAGGTTGCTTCTAGTGCTGCTGCCTCCTTTTTCTTTTTAGTTCTTTGGTTCTGCTAGATATAAACTGATTGTTATTATTGAACCGTGACAAATGTTTGATGGTGTACGATACAATCATGTAGTGATTTTTGTTCTTGCATTAAGATCAAGACATAAGAGGATAAATTAGCTGCTACAAGTTTTCAGTTGAAGAACATACGCGTATACAAGCGTTCTAAATCGACAGTGTTTTATTTAGGGGTTCGGTTGTTGTGCGTTAAGATTGGTCGCAGTTGGCTCGGCGCTTATGCGTTTTGTGGTGGTATTATGCGCTGAAGTCTCCCCAATTACAAAGTGGTGTCGTCTTTTGGTGGCCGGTCGAGTGCGTGTTGCCGACAGTTTTGTGTGATCGGGCGATTGGGTAGGGTTTGTTCCCGATTGACGGTATCACTTGCGCACAAATTGCTCGGAGAAATCCCTCGTCAGTGAGATGGAATGCTTGGTTGCAGCTTCCTCCCGTGTTCGTTCGACAACGCTAGATATCCACGGGCACAAGCTCCGACTGAGCCATGGAATTATCCCTTTCCGTCTTCTTGCTCAGTTCCGTCCGAGCGCATCTCCTTCCCGGCGGAAGCTGCACGGGACCCCCCGCTACCCACGCCGCGCCAAGCTGCCGCCTGACCCAGGAACCTCCCGGTTGCCATCCGAGATGGTCGATGGCGGTGCTCGGCCACTCGACGACGTTCGGGATGGGGACGAGAAACACACGGCAGAATTGTCCGTGGACAATGCGGAGTGGAGCCCCGAAGAGCTTGAGGCAATCTCCGCCCTCTTCGAACGGCCGATGCTGCAGAAGGCCCCGAAGCCCGTGAAAGAGCGGCCGCTGCCGCTCCCCTCGCCTTACGAGATCCGTCCCTCGAGGGTTCCAACGCTAAAGCGTCACGTCCGGTCAGCCTCCCGCTCAGTGCTGGCGCCGCGGTCTTCTTTCGCCGATCGGGTGCACAAGAATCCGGAAGCTCTCATCGGCATCGCTAGGGAGATCGCGGCTCTTCCCGCCGACAGCGACGCCTGCGAGGTGCTCGACCGGTGGACTAGGTTCCTTCGGAAGGGCTCTCTTTCGATGACGATTCGAGAACTGGGTCACATGGGCCTCCCCGAGCGAGCCCTGCAGACCCTGTGCTGGGCGCAGAAGCAGCCTTCGCTGTTCCCCGACGATCGAACCCTTGCTTCGACGGTCGAAGTCTTGGCCAGATGCGGCCAGCTGCGAATGGAGTCGGAGATGGGCAAATATCTCAACTCCGCCAGTCGCACCGTGATCGAAGCCATGGCCAGGGGTTTCCTGAGAGCGGGACGCCTGCACCGCGCGCGCAAGATCCTGCTATTCGCCAAGGACAACAAACGAACACTCGACCCGAGCATCTACGCGAAGCTGATCGCGGAGGCTGGCAAGACTCCGGATGGCTACAGGCTCGCGTCGGCAGTGCTGGACGAGCTCGGCGAGAGAGACGACTTTGATCTGGAGCCGCAGGACTGCACAGCCATAATGAAGGTCTGCATCAAGCTTGGGAGGTTCGAAGCCGTGGAGAATCTGTTCAGCTGGTACAAGCAGAGCGGAAGGAATCCCACTGTGGTGATGTACACGACGGTCATACACAGCAGATACTGCGAGAAGAAGCACCGGGAAGCTCTGGCTTTGGTGTGGGAGATGGAGAGCTCAGGCTGCCTCCTGGATCTCCCAGCTTACAGGGTAATGATCCGGCTACTGGTTGCTATGAATGATCTAGCGAGAGCCGCTCGGTACTTTTCAAAGTTGAAGGATGCTGGCTTCTCTCCCACCTGCGACATCTACCATGACATGATCAAGGTTTATGCAGCTTCAGGGAGGTTGGCTAAGTGCAGGCAGGTGCGTAAAGAAGCAGAGATGACTGGATTGAGGTTGGATGAGAGGACATTGTCTCTGCTTTCGGAGATGGAATCAGATGCTTCTGCATGAGGTTAGAGAATTTCTTGTTGGTTCCTCTCAGTCTTAAGTTGCTTTCATGTTCTCCTCAGATCACAAATTTGAAGATGTTCTCTTCTCAATGTGATTAGGCTAGCCATGTATACTCTAACTTAGCATCTCGTTTATATCATAATTATGATTATATAACTTTAACATTCTAGTACAAACCATGTTCTGCTCGTCAGAACACAGAAAAGAGTGCTAATTGAAGGTCATTCATCCCTCCAAATCCTATTATTTTAGCAAATGTTGCTAACCAGTGAGCTCTTCTGTTCATTTCTCTACAAACATGAGAAATTTATTTATCATTCACGAAACTTCTCAAGAAAATTTTAAAAAATTCCTGATGCTATTAATAAGAAACTATGGAGGGTTTTCACTTTGTTTAAGATTTTAGAAGTATTTCAGCATAAAATTCAGTCATAAGGTTCTGCATGCCTTTGTGCAGAGCATATACGATCCTTTCTTTGACGATCATGATTTATACAAGGAACTTATCTTGAATATGTATTTGCATCATGCCAAAATGCATTTCCCATTGTTTGATCTTAGTACAAATTTGGATTCTTTATCTTTGCTTCACTTGTTGAATGCCCTGTCCAAGTTGAGTTTGCACCATCTATCCTTTGGCTTCTTCCATCAAAGTGAAATATGACATATCTTTTCCTAAATACTTTCAAATCCTTGCATTAATATGCTGTTCATAATGTAAGACACAGCTTTATACTCTGTGGAGGACGAACTTGTCCTACTTCCATTGAAAGCTTGATCATTTTTTACCTTTCATATCAACCATACGCTATAGCCAATGAGAGATTTCACGATCATACTACTAATTTTTGTTAATCATATTCCTCCTTGAGCCACTCCAAATTTGTACTGTTCGTAGAGATAATTTCTATCTTTACATCATATTATAGTATCAGGTGGAGGTGAATGCAAATTTCTTTCAGATGGCATGCAAAACTTAATCCATATAGTCCACTACTGATCACTATGTATTATTCCACAAAAGCAAATGCTAGCATTCAGATCCCAGGTTGACCCCCCTTGATTACCTCCCTATTTAGTTCAAGGCACCTCATCTCCCCATCAGTGATTGTTGAATATGAATTTTTGACATCACACTTACTGGAAGGACCTTTAATCTCTCTCCTGGCACATCTGATAGACAGAATTACTTGCTTTCTAAGTTCTAAAAGATTATTGACTTTGCTTGTGTAACAATCGCGTTGGTGCATGAAGATCTATGTTCTTTTTTTTTTAGGTGGTGGCTTCTGAGCTGTATTTGAACAGAGATTAGCTTGATTCAGTGAAAATCTGGTCGTTGGTATTCTGTAACTAAAAAATTAGATCATGTGTAATTAGGCATGATTCTTAGAGTTATTATTAGCTCCCTTTCTAGGTGATGATTGCAACAAGTGACATGCATGAGATGAAGCAATACTTTGAAGTATAGCTATTGCAAGAAACGTACACACTTATATAGCCTTTAAGACAAGACACCTTGATGTTAGCAGAATTTGATTCAAAGATGCAAGAAAAAGAACATCCAGCCATTCTGGTTGCTGTCAGTTAAATGATTTTGTAGCTATGCTCATCCCAAATAGCAAAAGAAAGATGATTGTGGAAGACATCTACTACATGACATACCAAAGCTACGGCAATTAATTGTTTTTTGACTTCGATGAAGTCATGTTCTACAAAGGTAGACTTGTTGCCATGTGAAGCATATGGATCCATGTATTACAACAGGCTTGAATGCTAATCTATGGAGTATCCATTAAGATGATATTGTCTTCATATTTAGATTCTCTAAAGATAGTTTATTTTTATGACTTATAGAAGGGGGTTTCGTGGTCCATTAAATCTACATGTCCTTCACATTGTTGACCTCATGGGACCATTAAATTGATGAACAGATTGAGACAGATCTACAGGCTGTGCATTTGCATCCTCTATTTTCAACGAAGAAAAAAATTCCATCAATGAAGACTCAATGTTGTGAAGCTGTGGATCCGTAAATTGAAGTCCCTTGTGGAAGATAGTCGAAGAGATCACTGCAGATAGTCAAACCTACACTTAACAGCTAGTATGTTGATATGTCTTGGGATCCTTAATCCTTTTGTCTTAGTTTGAGAGTTTGAAGGCTCACAATGATATCTTGTGCATCTATTTTCCTTTCATCTTTGTGATGATCCACTTCTTTAGGTGGTGTCTGATGTAAAACAGGAAAAAAAACAGAAATCAACATCTATTATTTTTCCCAATTTGCAAGCATGAAATTGCTTTGAAGAGATTGCTACAGGGATGATTTAAATTAGACACTCATGGATTATAAAGTATGATGTTATTAAGTTATGTAGCTCTTTTACATGGATCATTGTCATGGATCATTGTTATCACTCGCTCTTCTAGTCATTATATTTTGAAAGAACATCGATGCTTATTTTTTGGCAAAGGAAAAGGCACTAATTTCTTGATTAAGTCGATTGTATGGCATACATTTAGTCAAAGTTCGATATTGACTTCTTGTTTGTCCATATCTGTGATGACATAGAATTGGAGACTAGATGGCAAAGGAACAGTGACAGAGACTACCAAAGGGAGCCCAATAGGTACCATCTACCTAACATTTTTAATTTAATTTGGCAACATCATATGCTTATTACGTATGTGTATATTGGAAATTAACTTTATTATGTGCCTATGATTATGGTGTATCGAAATTTATTATATATATATGCTTTCCATGAGCAGTCGTTTTGGTGAACTCATCGCAGAAAGGTAGTAAGAAATCATGAATGCGACATTAAGATGCTCTCTGACATTGACGACAATTTTTATAGGCTATTGTAAGCATGCGTTGTAAAACGCACTCTGAGCTTAATTTGGACTCATATGTTAGTCTAAATAGTCGATTCATAAGTGTATTGACAGTATTTAATGAGTCATAATTTGAACATGCTTATTTGTATATTGTTAATCCGCCACTGTCAGACCAACTCTTATAACCATAGTCTATGTTGCGACTAACTAAGAAATTAGAGTCTTAACTTTTTCCCTGCATACTAAGCAATTGGAGCCGATACCACATGAAGCAACATGTCTTATACTATTCCAAGTTGAAGGAAATGTACCCAATTATCCATGATATATATAGTAAATCACCTCCATCATCATAGTAGACATCCAAGCAAGTCCATGGAGGCCAGTTTGGATCAGTTTTAATACATTACATTGATTCAAATTTGACATTAACAACTATATTTTATTATTAATTTGATTTTTCCATATATATATATATACACATATATATACACACACACACACACACATATATATATATATATATATATATATATATATATATATATATATATATAGACGTGTCAACTTTATGTTGACGTTCAATTTGATGCTAAATGGATGGCATGAGGACAGCAAACTTTGGTCATTAAAATCCATCATATGAATGCCAAGTACATTTGGCGTCAACCAAATGCGCCTCTCTTCTAAGCTGATGGCATTGGAAAAGGCTGAGGGGAATCCGTGGCTGTTTTGCACGCCATTGGTGGCTTAGACTTGTTGACTTTTGCGGCGACTGGTCAAACGAAGACTCCAAACTCCGGACAGCTGAGCAAATAAATCATCCGCCTTCGGCTTCCTTCTTCGCCTCTCTCTCTCTCTCTCTCTCCTCACATCGCCCCTCGATCCTTTGCAGCCAAGTCATTGGAGAGGAAGAAACATAGAGAGACGAAGGAAGGGGGAGGTGAACATAGGGCATGGGGAACTGCATCGGGTCTTCTTCTACAAGATCTCCGAGCCCTGCAGATACCAGTCCAGGTATTATAGCTCAAGATCAAACAGCAAAGATCCCTTCTTTATGTACTTGTATCATCAATCAAGATTGTACCTGTTCTTATCTCGCCAAGATTGCTTGAGGTTTCGATCTTTATGCGTGTTTCGGATAGGGTTTGTAGGCTGGTCTAATCCCATGTCATCAAAATCCCTTCTCGCTCTCTTCAATTTACTTGCTTTTGATGCAATTGCGATCGATCTTCATTGCCTCTTTCAAGGTCTTCTGCTACGGTTTGAACGATTCCGTGTTCATCGGTCCAAACCGGGGCTCGAGAATTTCTAGTCAAATCTTTTGATTTTGACCAAGCAGATCTCTTTTGATTCCGTCAAAATTTACCCGTCTGCTTCAATTCCCCCAATTTTGTTCTTCGTCCTGTGGGGTTGCAGTACGGTTGGCATCGAAGACGAGCAGCAGCACGGGGACGACCGGGAAGCTGTCAAGCCTCAGCAGCAGCACCTTTGGGCAGTCCACGGGCAGCGGCGTGAGCGTCGACGATGTGTTTCCCGAGGGCCGGATCCTGGAAGCGCCGAACCTTCGCATCTTTACCTTCGCGGAGCTGAGGAGCGCGACGAGGGGGTTCAAGCCGGAGACTGTTCTCGGAGAAGGTGGGTTCGGGCGGGTGTACAAGGGATGGGTGGAGGAGAAGACGCTGAACCCTGCTAAAAGCGGGCTGGGGATCGTGGTCGCCGTGAAGAAGCTGAACCCCGAAAGCATGCAAGGGTTGGAGGAATGGCAGGTGATCTCCCTGTGCTCAACTCTTTTGTGCCTTTCCCTTACGTTTTTTGTTCTCCCCTCTTTCTCTTTCGAGTAGCTGCTCGTTCTCCTCTTTCTAAAGCCATTTCCTTCTCAGGATTTTACATGATAATAGAGATAATAGACTTTAATTTGCTTTCTATGTTTTACCTGATCAATAGATCTCAAGAGTAAAAAAAACCAACCTTGCAATCCTCTCACTGTTACTGAATGTACAGCTCATCAGATTGTTTGTTATTGCTCTGAATCATATAGCTGACATATGAAAAGCACAAGTTTGAGATGCTAATGCTAGTGATTTATAATTAATGCTAAAGCTAACCGAGGGCTCAAAATATTTAAGTTAAAGTTAGGTTTGATATCGTTATCAAAGCCTAATTTGACTCAGATCAAATCTTAGTATGGTGCATGTGAGACTCCGGTAATAGTTTCACACAGTGATATCCCGGATCCATCTCACATCAAACATCGATATCCCCTCCCTTTTTTTTCGGATCCATCTCAACATCAATAAGCCTATAGGTAGTTTTAGAGAAATATCTCACATTATACGACAGATTATTAGATGTCTTAATTTAACTACTAAAATATCATCTTTTATGCAAAATAAATAAGCTTTTAGATGTGGTATTTTCTCAATAATTCTTTTATGCTGATGAGATAATTGATCTATTAAGTTGAAACTAATAATAATATATTCGTTAGATCAAAGATTAAGTGTTAGCCTACTTTCCATGTGGAACTAAACTGAAATGTTACACTTTATAAGGGTTTGGGGTTGATGGGTATATTTAGATTTTCAAAACAAAATTAGTTTGGAAGATAAAAAATCGAAGTATATTTTAACCATGTAAATCTTATAATAATAATAATAATAATTCTCTACATTATACTTAATTTCTTTCCCCTGCAAAGAGAAAATGGAGGTCATTTGTTGTCATTCTGCTATGTGACCTAATTGGCGCGCACTCGTCGTTGGTTGTGGTTGCAGTCTGAAGTCAATTTCCTGGGGAGGCTGTCACATCCAAACTTAGTGAAGCTAATGGGATATTGCTGGGAGGATAAGGAGCTCCTCCTCGTCTACGAGTACATGTCAAAGGGCAGCTTGGAGAACCACCTCTTCAGAAGTGAGTCCTCCCTACTGATGCTGTCACCTGTGGCCACCTTTCTTGCACCAATCACTGCAATGAGAGATCAATGGCTCTATCGATCAATGACATGACACTAAAGTGCTCTGCTTTTTCTGTGCACTCACTCCTCTTCGAGGTGGTCTTCTCCCTTTTACTATTCGCTGGGTCTTGTGGCACCGCAGGGGGGGCAGCGTTCGAGCCACTGTCTTGGAGCATACGGCTGAAGATAGCCATCGGAGCAGCTCGAGGCCTCGCCTTCTTGCATTCTTCGGATAAGCAAGTCATCTACCGAGACTTCAAGGCCTCCAACATCCTCCTCGACGCCGTAAGCTTCTGTCATCACTTACACCTCCATGTCTCCCCCCTCGAGGCGCGGTGAGCTAATCCTGCACTGCTCTCTGTCTTGTTCCCAGAACTACATTGCCAAGCTCTCTGACTTCGGCCTGGCGAAGCACGGGCCGACCGGCGGCGACTCGCACGTCACCACCCGAGTCATGGGCACCTACGGCTATGCTGCTCCAGAGTATGTTGCGACAGGTATGTGTCGAGTTGTCCTCTGATCTACCCGTTGTGGATTGACGCGATCATGACTGTGCATTTCTACACATTATGGCCTGCAAAGTGTTTGTCGTCGGTCCTCGGTGAATTGATTTGTTGCGTTGAGCAGGACATCTGTACGTGAAGAGCGACGTGTATGGGTTCGGGGTTGTGCTGCTGGAGATGCTCTCCGGGCAGCGGGCGCTGGACGCCAACCGCCCGAGCGGGCAGCACAACCTGGTGGATTGGGCGAGGCCGATGTTGGCTGACAGGAGGAAGCTGGCGCGGCTGATGGACCCGCGGCTGGAGGGGCAGTACTCCTCCAAGGGGGCGCTCCAGGCGGCTCAGCTCACTCTGAGCTGCCTCGCTGGCGATCCCAAGAGCCGGCCGTCCATGAAAGTGGTGGTGGAGACGCTCGAGCGCATCGAAGCAATAAAGGGAAGGTCAAGGGAGGCGCGCGATGCCGCCTCGCAGCAGGCGGTGGCTCGCAGCCGCGGCCACACTCCGGTGCACGGTCGCTCGCCGCTGCACCCGTGGCACGAGAATGGCGGGCCGGGCATCGCTATCGCCACTCACCAACCACACCGAGCAAGTTGATGATGATGATGATGATGATGATGCGTGGATGGCACTGCGCTTGTAAAGAGTGGTCACGTTTTTGTATGTTGTAATTTTGATTGTTTGGGGGGCGTTCATCATCAAATCAAAAAGTGTTGTGCTCTCTGACGCATTCATAGTAACGAATATGTGGGATTGTGGAACCAGCGCGCACCGAATTGGTGGTGTTCCTATTCCTTTTGGATGTCCGATGGTTCAACATTTGCTTGTTTAGTCTTGGAAGGTCTCCACACTGTCTCACGTGTAACTATCAATATCTACAGCGATTGCTGGAAGTAGAATTTCAATTTTAATCTATTTTGGAAGTAAAGAGATAAGAAGCACCAGGATTCGATCAAATGATCTTACAATAATAATCTATAATCTGACTAAATGTTTACGCCATCATGCTAAACTTGTATTTTAGATAGATATAAAGTTGTATAAAATGAATGATATTTCAAACTTTCAACCCAAAATACATCATCATTTTCGGTGATGAAAATTTTAAATTTATCAAATGAGATTTTAAACTCTCAATCCGAGATGAGTTAGTTAGGTAGACAATGTGTTCGGATACACTACCATACTAAACTTGTATATAAAGTTTCATAAAATGATTTGATGTTTCGCACTTTCAACGACACATCTAATTAATATATTCTTAAAATGATTAAGAATATATTAATTAACAACTGGCTTAAGAAAAAGGAAATATCTAATTTGTTGGGTTTTGTAGAAAGCTGATGTCTTAATGATATATAGCAGGAAGTTGGTATCTAACAAAATGCCAGATATAGCAGGGTGTCATGAAGATGATTCAAACCTAGGAAAGGAATCTAACAGGCACAGTGATTCCTTACGTAGATAGTGGAATTTTGGGATCTTTCGACAAACATAATCATCACTTCGAGTGTTAGTGGAAAGAGTATTATTTCCACTACATTATCTATTGACTTTCCAAGTTCAGTTGTCATCTGGGCATAAAAAGTTCGAAATTGCTATGACTTTGTATAAATCATTGATACTGATGATTCCTGAGAAGCATGATTTAAAAGGCCATGAAAGAAGGTGAGAAGCCGTAAAGGCAAAAGGGATATTTTGTACCTTTACGACTTTTAGGCCGAATGGAAATACTGCACACCAACCTACTATGACACCCAGATTTATATACACATGGAATCTTTTACATGAATATAACAATAACAATAATAATCATTCACATCAAATGATTTTTATAAATGACAACCAAACAAAAGATTTAGTTCGCTTGATCTTATTGAGAGGATGAAAATGCCGATGAAAAAGCTTCTTTTGTTGGGGTGGGGGGGGGGAGAAGAGATTTGTAATAGAAAAGCAGCTCTCAAATCTTGATGATTTGGCTATTGACGATACATGAAGATAACAAATTTGACGGACAGGTATTGTCAAATACCAATATTTCCTGCTTCATCATAAGAAGAATATATCCAAGAGTGCAGATGGGCTTTTTACCGCTGCAATGCAAACTGCCTGACTTCTTCCACACAAGGCCAAGAAAAATGCATAGGCTTGCCGCTGAAACCAACATTGTACATCTCTGCAAGCACATAATGATGTCGGTGGCCAAATACACTAGTGCTTTACTGGTAAAAGGATGTCCTCAGTCCCGAGTGATCCACCTGTGTCCATGGATCTCATGCCGGCCATGACCATGATCACTAATCTCTCCCCCGCTTTCTGCGCTTGTATATCCTGATTTCCAACGACGTCTTCTTCCTCTTTTAGAGCCACTGTCGCTAATACTTCCATCCAATAATGGGTCATCAATTCCATGAACTCGCCTAGTGGGAGAAGATGAGCCTATGCAACCATCATCTTTGGTTCTTAGCTTCTTATCATGCTTTCTTATGTTCTGAGATATCTTGTGAAGCTTCTGGTTGAATCGTGTCAAACCCTTCTCCATGGGCTCGACTGCGTGGGTGACCGTAAACTTCAAATCATTCACGATCTGCAAAAGACAACACAAGCTTCATTAAGAAGACCAATTTGTGGTGGTACAATGTTTTCTGCATCAAAAGTAGGACACACTAATATAAGCAATTAAATTCTCCATCTGTGCCTACACTTTCTAAATATGTATACCTCTTTTCTAGTTAATTCTTGAACCATAGATTCAGGTTATTGTGATGCCAACCAAATTAAAAGGCAACTTTACCTTAATCAAATTTGGTAGTAGCAGCATTAATACCATAATTATGATGCTGTCTTACCTGATCATGTTGTTTCAACTCTAATCAAAGACAAGGATAGCCAAACTATCCTGAGGATTTTTTCTGTGATGAGGATTATTAAAATTTATCTGAAACATGTTTGGATTCACAACTAATCAGGATTCTCCTCACAGGCTAAAAAAGACTTGTCAATACACTTTGTAATCTGATTGATTAACCAATTGACAAGTTACAGTAGTAAATGATATAAAAACAACAGTGTGTAACTTCAGCTCTGACTAAAGAAATCATGTGATTTAATGTATGATGTATGTGATGGCACAGAAATTAGGATTATCAACAATGTTAAAACACAAAGAATCATGTCACTAAAGATGTTTGTGTTTTCCCTCCCAACATGATGGCAGTGGACTACTTAAAATCAATGATGTAAAAACATGGAAATGGGGGCTAAAGTCACACAATTTCCTGTTTCATCAGGCGTGAAAAAGAAAGAGAAACTTGGACAAAAGGAATGGCATAATCAACATTTAAGTAACTACTTGGCAATAAAAAGGGGATATGTAATAAAAAAAAAATCAGTATTATGTTTCATCATTGAAAGCCCACATTTTACTTCGTTATAATGAAAAGATATCGGACGTGTAACGCCCATTACCACCAATTCTCAAGTATAGATGCAGACTACAAGAGGACAATCTACACACTGATGTGTTTGACATAGATTCTCTATTAGTAGATCATAGCACTTGGATAAAAGTTTTCTGAAATGAGTCCAATCTGGAATTGTAAACCTTGACAGGAAAAATGTTGGTGAGATGCAATAGTGAGAGAGAACTACACGTACATATTCTCCTCCGCCAAGAACAACGTCACGAACACTTTCTCTAATAGGTGTTACATTCTTGGCACCAACACCAGGTTGGGGAAGTCTAAGTTTTGTAGGTCGTTCACAGTCCTTGACCTCATCAGGGTCTAAAGGGCAGTCCAAAGATGCATAGTCCCCGAGAACTGATACACCTCCAGCAAAGAAGTCGCCCATTAGCTTGTATGGCTTGGCAGGGAAAACATAGAGATGCACAATGGAAGCAACACACATCTGTGCTGGAAGAACAAAAGCATCTGTTAGAGATTCAGTATTTGATTCAGGCTTCCAAAATATGGATAAAAAAGAAAAATATTTTACAAGTTGATTGTACTGAAATTTCACAGGACTTCATCAGAAAAATAAAGTATGAGTGCAATCATAAAGGTATCTGATTCCTTCAAAGAACAAGACATCTTCAGAAAAGAAAACACAAAACATTCACATAGCAACTTCATGTTTTCATCAACAATCAACTTCTTTCCATTTCTTAAACGACTAATTCAAATAAAAAATAAAAGCACAACTATAACAATTTTCTCTCTAACATACTCAAAAGGGCTAATTACAGATTACCCCTTGTAATTAGCTACCCTTAGCATCCCGATCCCTATACCTTCAAAAGTTACATTGAGATTTCTATAGTTACGAAAGTGAAACATTGAAATCCCCATACAGAGTTAAAAAGATAATTTTATAGAGTTAAAAATCAAGAAAGAGAAAAATTTTGTTGGAGCAATGGGATTAAATGTTTCACTTTTGTAAGTATAAATATCTCAATATAACCTTTGAACCGAGATGTTAAAAGTAGCTAATTACAAGGGACAATATATAATTAGCTTTACCCAAAACAGAAGGCGATTCAATGTCATCGACAATGCACATTATTATATAAGCCCAATGCAATTTCAAGGATATCCACAAAGATTATACTGTTAAATGACAAAAATCTATAATAGCAAAGCCCATATGTTATATGCATATTTAAGTTCAAGGAAATGACAAAATTACCTCTATACAAATAATGAAGTCCTGCATACTTGATTTGAAATGTAAACTTTGAGCTATGGGGCTCTTGAACAAACCCCAACTATAAAGTAGTGCGATTGCCACATCTTGCCACCATGTTAGAAAGACAATTGATTTAAACATCAGGAATTTTGCGAGTGGTTTCATATGTGCTAATTCATCCTTTGTAGCTGCATAAAATTGGACTAAACAGTATAATGCCCATGATTGACTAAAATTGAGAACAACAGCCATGTAAGGGTACCTACATAATCAAGTAAAACCCAAAATTTGTCACGTTGCATCCAAAAAAATGAGACAAGTGGCATGTAACACACATGATGGATTTTGTGACAGTATAAAAACTGTTTTGATTGGTGAAGGCTATAAAAAAATTTCATATTGAGGATCAGGCATTTTCTCATAGTCAAAAAATGCAACATGAAAAATCTACTGTTATTGGTTAAAGGTGCCATCTCAGGATATACTCTTTTAAACACCAAAATGACAAGAAAAAATAACTATTGTTCTACAGTGCTGCTAATATTAGCTTTATGAATCATCCCAGAAATACTGAGAGCCACAGGCATCCATCTCTAAACAAGTTTGCCATTTGGTAGTACCAATTTTAATAAAACAAAGGCCCTTTCAATCTCATTCCTGGCAGAGGTTGTTAGTTTGGAAGTTATCCAAGAAATTCTGATAAAAGAAGTTCAGGATGCCTGAAAGTTTGACATGAATGTAGTTTTCTATCCTCCTAGTTTTCTTAGTTTATATTTCACAAGCCAAGAGCACAAAACCGAAATAAACAATATAAATATGAAATACTTAGTTCTGACAATAAAATTGTTCTGTTATGACTAAACGCATATGCTGTGCATGCTCCTATATGCTTCACATCTGATACCTGCAATAGAAGGCATCAATTAAAATTTTAGAAAAAAAACTCAAAGCAGTCTATGGACAGGAAACACAGTAATAGCTTATTGGGGGAAAATAGCACATAAGGAATATCCTATTTTAAGTTATACAATGCTTAAACTCCAATCAACATTATTAATTAACAACTTTGGTGCATGTGAACTTTAAGTCTATGTCAACCAGATTATGAGGACTAAGCATTTTTAACACAGAGATGCCACTTGATTTTAAAAGAAACGTTACTTCAGTTTTCTCAAACACATAACAGTTAACACTGCACTTGTTTTAATTTTTCACAACATATCAACTCAGTTTCACTTACCCACAACTCCATGTAAACTGTCCATCACAGTATACTCCAAAAGCTTCAAGAAATACAGCTAAAATGGCAGTTGTAGTCTTTATTATCATCTGTACACGAAGGACAACATTAGATTCTATTAATTTGCCCATTATACAGAAAGATCTAACATTCTTCAGGTAAAAGCTCACATATTGCACAATTCCAATCTTGATAATTTGGTAAAACCACTCTCCCAATTTCCATGGCTTCAAAATGTAATTCATTGGAAAAGGATGCTTTATTACTCCCTTCTCAAAAGCATCCTTTGATAGGGGTGTGTTCGAACTTGCAGCACCCTGTCTCTTCAAAAATTCAATTGTTCTCTCTTCCCCACCTACAGAAGGAGGAGTGCAATCAGAAATTGTACCTAACTCTATCAGGCAAATACAGTACATGCTCATATCAGAACAACTAAACGTCTCTCATCATGCTATTAGGATTAGGCAAGTCCTACATGTTTCCACTATTTCACATATGTAACAACGCTATAGCTACTTGAACTTGAGTGTTAATCTCCACATATAAGCACCCGCTTTGTACTTGCAAATAGTGGTAACCGACTAATATGGCCATCTTAATGCATAAAGCTGCCCACAAAAAAATTTGGTCACCTGAATAACCATGTGACCAGTTGCCAATTGTTCTAGTCATCCACAAAACTGAATCTAGAGATGTACAAACTTATAATTCTTTATCATTTGTTATAAATGATGTTCTCAACATGTGACTCCATAACAAAATTTCTGCCAGTATAGAAAAACTATCCTAAGGCCAATCATATCCTGGTGTGCTAGTATCTCTTGGATAAAACTGAAAACAAGATTTGTACTCATCCAAAATTAGGGCAGCCTCAAAAACCTTGCATACGTTAGTTGAGGATGTCATGAAGATGCATGACAGTACATAGACTGCATACAAGAACAGAAAGTACATCAAAGGTAACACATGGACTCGATCCATGCATATGACTAAAAGCCCCCTATTGTAAAGTATTAGGTGCAAAAGAATGCTGGATGATGGACTAACTGCTTCACAAGATAAAATGCACCAGCATAGACTATGAAAAAACCAGAAAAATTATTGAAACATGGAAACAGAACTACATAGGTTAAAGCTTCAATTTTCAAATTCAATAATTGATTTGGTCTTGAGATCCATCATACATGTATCAACTGCAATATTATGACTCACAAAAGATTCATACATGAAAGAACAACAAAAAAGAATCGAAACCTAATAATAATAGGAGGAATATGTCTACTAGAAGCCAGCTCAGTGCACAAAGCACGTGCTAATGCATGATCTGGGGAGAGTTATTGTACATAGCCTCACCCTTGCAAGAAAAGAAAAGTTTTCCATGAACCTGGACTCTTAGTAAAATTGCATAGGAGGAGCCTTAAAGTGGTGCAAATGTTTGCACTAATATAGAAATCTAAAATAAATGGAACAGATATATGGTTGAAATGACAAACACCACCGTACAACATTAGCAAGCATAATATTTTTTTTCCAGACTATTTGTGAGCTAAACACCACTCTCTAACTTTTGAAAAAAAAAACACCAAGAGAAAAAAAGATCAAAAGTTAGATTACAAGTCATAAGTTGTCAACATGGTTTAAAGATCTCTTAGCAAAGTAATAATTCTTGTTCCATTCAAAGCATGAATACAAAGTGATCAGCAATGTTGCAAAGTAATAGCACTATCACAAAGCATATTGTTGATGCCTTATTAAGAGAACAAATAAGAAACCATCAGGCAACATGGAAAAATGCTACCTTATAGCCACATAAGCCCCAAAAAGTCATTGTGAACATAAGGAAATGGATACAATAGCTACCAAGAAAGAGAACAACCAAAACATAGATTGAAGGAGAAGTCACCCATCAATAATCTTCCTCAGAAAATAAGAATTACAGTCAGATCATCTACTAGGGTTTCCTCTAGGTGAAAGGCATACCCAGGCAAGCCACGAGATATCTTCCAAAGCAATACATAGCAAAGGCCTCATAACAATCACGCAGAATCTCACAATCGACGCTGATGGATGGATTCACCAGTGACACATACTACATTAAGAACAACAAGAGAAATCAGCAGTGTTCCAAATACACACTATTGAAACATCACCATTACGAAAAGGCACCATGTAGAACTCAAAAGAAAACACCATTTCTTTACTTTTGTGGTTTGTCTTGGTCTGAAATATTAAACCTTATTTCCTAATTGGTTGTATGTAAAGTTGAAAGATACAGATACAAGTCAAAAACTCATATCATTCAGGTAATCGCTAAAATTACCAAGTCAATGGCATAGAATAAGATCACCACATTTCACCTATCTTCCAGTGATAAAAGAACTTACGGATTCAATGGCATAGCAAGGGACCATTAAGATCACACCAACTAGAAACTTCTGCTCCTGCAAGAAGGTAGTCCAAACAACAGTAAGATTACAAGTGAACAAGCACTCCAAGCACATTATTAATCAAACCAAGCAAGAGAAGAACTGGAACCACCTCCGGGTTATTGTATGCAGAAAGGTGTTGAAACAGAAGGAACATGGAAAGGAAGAGTGTGATAAGCATCGAGACACCACCAATGGCCGTGGCCCAAATGGGCAGGGAGTAAGATAAGAGACTCCAGTACAGCTGCTCAGTTATCTTCATCAGGAAGAACGACTTGAGCCCTCACCGATTCGGAGCATAATTCAAGCCAAAATTAGACCAGCAAACACATCTCTTATCCAATCAATGGGCTGCTAGCAAATCCAACGAGTGTTCTCATCAGATTAAAAGAAGACCACATTTGGCGACAAAACCACTCATCAATTCCGACTTCAACCTTCAAGATCACAAGATCGACGCGACTCTGCAGCAAAGGGGTAAAACAAAGATGGGAAACAAAACATGCTAAAGTTTCCGACTACACAATCTAAACCCTAATCCAAGAGAAAGAGAACCAAAAACAACGATTCTGGCGATGTTGCGAACCCGTGGAACCCTAGATTCGCGTGGCGAACAGCCTCGCGGAAACCAGCAGACGTCACACGGGAATCAAGAATCATAAAATAACAACAGAATCGCTTTGCGGAGCTCGAAATCGAACAGAAAGAAAGAAGGAAAGAGGAGATGGCTCAAAGCCGAGAAGGCGATTAGCGTCCGCCTCTTTGAGCGATAGGGGGAGTTCGAGTTCGAGTTCGAAATCGTCACTTACGAGAGACGAGCGAGAGAGAGAGAGAGAGAGAGGGGAGGCCAATTGACCGGTTGATGGGAGGCGAACGAACGTTGGACCGCCGACACACAGCGTAAACAAGGCGGTGCGGCCCTCTCGTCGTGATGGATGGTGAGGACCGACCCGGATGACAGTTTGTCTTTGGTGATATAATAATTATCTATAGTTAAAA